TTATTATTATTGATATAAGCATTGTTGTTGTTGTTGTTGTTTTTACCCAGTGTATGGCATGCATATCAACAAAAATAAATAAATAAGGCATTTTGTTATATTAAAATATTACCTGTCTTAACAGCACTTGGCATTATGTTGCCCAGAGTAACAGTCTAGAAAACAATATTTTTCACCATTTTATTTGGGTTCATTACCATGAGTGACCATGTTTATTTTGTAATAGATGTAATAGATTTGCATAGATGTTCATCTCTGTAGCTGAAATATATTCTGTTATTAATAGTTGTAAATTTTCTACTCTTATTTTATTAGTAAAGTTAAGACATATACAGTATTGCACAGGATGTAACCAAAGAGGTTAAATTACATGAAAATCCTCCTTGAACAAAAAACATGTTGCAGCCTCACTAATTTGTCTGGCATAAATCAAAAAAAATTATAAATTAAGGAAAAAAGTTACTACGTATATATTTTTTTCCTTTTTTAAGATTAGATATAATAAGGACTTTCTGTATTTAACTATTTGTTTTTTAATGTTTTTGTGTTACTAAGTTTTACATTACTAAAACAATTCCTCATGCTTCGATGATTTTGAATAGTTTATTTTGACAAAAACCTAATCTCAGATTACTTCATAATGTAACACATATAGTGGCATAATTTTAAAGTACTTTGGCTGTATTTGCAGAGTGAGTTGCAGTATCCTGAACATCCTGTCTGTTTCTCTATTGTCCAGACTGTGAGAGTCATTTCAAGGGTGTCAGATTGTACGTGGGCTATCCTGTTCTACGGTAGATTTTTTTTCCACTCTGTCCTCTTCTGAATACAGCCCCTCCCTTATCTTCAGTATCACATTAACAAGCCATCCACTCAGTGAATACCAAACAGTCATTACTTGCGTGTGTGTGTAAGAAAGTGAAAAAGTTTGAGATAATACGTATTAATTACAGGCTCCATCTGAAGAGCGCTAATGAATGCTAGTAGCCGTTCAAATGAGCTAATGACACAGCAGCTCATTTACAGACAGAATCGCACAGAGTTGCTTGGAGATTCATATCTTTTCTCCTTTGAGTGGAATGTTCGAAGCCATTCTTTGGATTGCACATCCACTTGTATTGTTCCTTCACCATGGTGAGCTCCAAGGTAAAGGTGTGCACATTACTTTAGCAAAGTAATGTGGCGTCCTCAGTGATAAATTAAAAATCTAATAAATATTTAGCATAGGGACAAAATGCATGCGCAGAATTAGATGTTTTATGTAAAAAAATACATTTTTGTGGAACAGTGTTTAGTGTTCGTTAACTGAAATCGTGACAAAACCACATGAATGTTGAGTAGATTAAAATGTGAAGAGAATGGACCATACAACACCAGTTACTGGAGTGAACGCTAGTTTAATGCTGTCTGTCCAGGCAGGAAACCAATGCTGAATGCAAACTGGAAGTCCTGGTCCATTAACACACGGGTCTTCAGTGCCTGGTACGCCCACTACAGGCCTACGGCTGAATCACAGACACTCTGAACAGCAATGCTCTCCTAATGTTTATTATAAACTGTTTTATTATGTGTTGTCATGATGTTTCAGGCATGTATCTAAACCTATTTTAATCAAGACACAACAATAGTCAAACAATAGATTATAAGAATCAATACTTAAAAAGGAAAACTATGAATATGGTGTGGTGCTTCTAAAATCAGTTTCTAAATGACTAAATACATTTCTTCACTGGGCTCAAGAACATATAGTTTTTAATMCTGAAAGCATGTTTTTCTTATTAAGCTTGTTATCTCCAAATACATAAAAACAACCACTGGTCTTGAACTACTGTGGCATTTCATGTAGATACAGTTCATCATGCCCTATACTTACACGCTGTAAGGATAGAAAGCAAAGAATGTGGAGGTCACCTGCTTCCAAGGCAGAAACTTTCTTTTAATCATCAAACTAAGTGCAGGAAAAATATAATAATAATAAAAATATATAAAAGTAGTCATCACTTTTCTTCTTTTAGAGCCTGACTTCCTTTTATTATGACTCTATCTGTCCAGGTTCTTGTCCATGCCATCACAGAGCACGTGGAAGATGCGGGGGTCCACTCTGGGGATGCAACCCTGATGCTTCCAACCCAAACCATCAGCCAGGGAGCTCTAGAGAAGGTCAGCTAAGTCACATGAATTTTTAAAAAAAGTTTTAAGCATCACTTTCTGTTATTAAGGGTTACATCCAAATAAATGTACCTTATTGTTTTGCGTGGTTTCCCCCTCTTTTTACAAAGGTGTTTCTTAAATTCTTGAGTTATCTTAAGCTGTTATTTTCATAAGTGAATTTGACAAATCCTGTTTGAATTAGGACTCTATGTTTTTCCATTCCATAGATGGTGTATACATTCTGATTACATTAGGCTGTGGTTTTTTTTTAAATTATGTAAAACCTTTAATGTGGTATGAGTCCGAGCTGCTATTTATTGGTGGATAATGTGGCTTCTGATCAGTTCCTTTAAAGAATCTAAGACAGAAAATAAATTAATAAAAATCTGTGCTTTAAGGTTGTTAGGCTGCAGGGAAAGCTTCAGTTCTCTGCATGGTTATCAATATTTTCATTTGTCCCCGACCACTGCAGTTTTAACACTTCACAGCATGCTTGTTAGCTTTACATAATTTTTTAAAATGTTCTTTTAAAGAGCCCTTTGTAAGATCATCACATACTGCCTGTTCAGTTCTTTATGGTGGGAATTAAAAGCTGTGGCTCCAAGGTGGTAAGCATCATTTGTCCTTTTCATATGGTTTCATATGGAACTGGGAAGAAATGATGTTTGGAGCACCTATGAAGAAAATCATTCAATGTGAAAGTTATTGTATAATCCCATCGATTGGATTCCCTCCAAAAGCAGAATGTAATTTAAATTGAGAGTTGTTTATTTATTCCAGTGATCTGAAGTGACTGCATGCAATTGGGTCTTGTCATGATTTAGTGGTACAAACACTTTTCTTGATTCAATCTCTTAGGAAAAGCACAAGGGTTTTTATTTTAACATGATGAAACATTTAGGAACTGCTGGACTGAGACACTGATATTATCAATTCCTACAAAACTGAGACCACAAAAGATGGGCTTTATCTGTTTTTATTTTAGACTTTGCTTACATTGCAGAGCTTGGACAGGAACAAAATACTTTATGATCTCTGCAGTTAACAGTAAATTGTATAGATATTTTGCTTATGGGCTCCATCTGCAATGTGTCAAGAGATAGTATCAGTCTTCATGGTAAGTGCTAACACAAATGGTTTAATGTTTTTTCAATGGAAAAGCAAAATGAAGTTTGAAAATGTAACCATTGATGGACAATCAAAATATGTTTTGTGTTTTAGATAATTTTTGGACTATTGAGTGCACCTGAACATAAGCCACACCCACTAAACACAACAAATAAATAAAATTGTACATATAATACAGTCTACACTTGTCTATAAAAAGCTGGTGTCCACACTGTGACATGAGCTATTTGCACAGAAAGATGTAACACACTGGGGCACCTCCAGTATTTTATCGGAGGGAACGTACAAAACCATCACAGCACCTGACCACAACTCCAACACGCATCATGCATGTGGCGCTAAAAAACCAGCACAATGCACCTGGCCTGATCCACATAAACACAGGCTAAAAATGCACAATGTGAGTGGAACATAAAAACAACAAATGTCACATGTCAGTGCCACACAATCATGATTASTCAAATTCCAAAAAGTCAAATAAAGAAAATTAAAAACAAAAACACTGGCAAATGTTATTTAGTGGCTGCAATTTGCAACCATTAGAGAAGGCCTCCTTATTTCTGTCTCCTCCAGTACAGTAAGATGAGGGAGTAGAAAAAGGTAGAGATGCAGCATCAGCTGTCAATCACAACGCGCCACCGCAAACATGTCAAAAAATAAGTTAATTAAAACAGGGTAAAAAAAAAAAATTTGATTTATGGACAGTGTAATGGAAGTTATGTCAAAGAAATGAAAATGCAGCAAAACAAAGACTGGGAAATGGGTGAGGTCAGTGACAATTATTATTATTATTATTATTATTATTATTATTATTATTATTATTATTATTATTTTTTAAGTGGAACACAGTGTGAAACAACACTAAAGTAAAAGTGATTCATATATGAAACTCACAGCTCAGAAAGCTGCCTATCAATTGATTGACACATTTTGATCAAACTCAAAGATAACTGCCAGACTGATTAGTCAGTAACCAGGTTGGCCTACTATCAAAATATGATCTCTTCTGATTGTATGTGGTGCATTTTTACAAAATAACTCCCTCTAGAAACAGCTTTGCCAAACAAAACTTCAGTTAAGAAGAATTTTTTAAAAGAAGAGTTTATCTGTGTTAGTCAGCCACAAAAGAGTTATGAAAAGAGACACTGCATACCCAATTGTGCTTTTTCCTTAACAATTTACACATAAAGCCTTTGAAATTGAAACTCACTAAGCCTGGCAAACCTCTGCATCTGTGGCCTACCTTATTCATTGCTGCAGTTTTTGTTCAAACACCATCCAAGGCCACTTTAATTGAAAAGTTGGGTCTGGCCACTTCAAGTAATAGTGAATTAAACACTCCAAGCTACAATGGCAATGATCCTCCAAGGACCAGTGACCATTTACCACCCATTGCGTTTTATAAGTCCTGCAGTTTTAGACATAAAACCAACTTTTCATATCAATCTCTTTGGGTCATTATCTGTCCACTGTGTTCTTGTGCATCTCATTATGCTTAGAGCACTGCTGACATTACCAACTCTGTGTTCATTGGGTGTTAGGCCAGCAGTATTACAAATCCTGCAAAATTATTATGGTTTTGGTAATTCCATAAAAAAACCCTGATTAGTCACCAATCAATAAAGGAATTACATCAGTTGTGTTACTATTCGTTTACCATTTGAATAGCATAGCTTAGTGTTTTTTGCTATTTTTACTCATTTAGGAGTCTACTCACTCCTCATTTCTTGTGAGGCATTTAAAGAACTGTGATATAATMTACAGCTGCTGAGGCAGAGACATGTATTTGTCACATGGAACAATAACAAAAACACCACACTATTCCACAGTGTATCATACTATTCCATACTGTCCTGCCTTATGAAACTTTGACAGGCAGCCTAATATTTATTCTAAGTTTATGTTCTTTTTTATTGCTTTCAGGTTAAAGTCGCCACYCGGAAAATTGCCCAAGCGTTTGAAATTTCAGGACCCTTTAATACTCAATTTCTGGTAAAAGGCAATGATGTCATGGTAGGTACTATATCCCTGTGCATGACTGAATAACATATTGTTTTTTTTAAACTCCGGATTGAATCAAATGCTATTTACTTTTAACTTAAACTCCCTTCATGTTCAGAATGATTTTTGCAGACGGTTAGATTTAATGATGAGCGATGCTTTCSTTTTTGACGTTCAAGCTACAGTGCACAATCTCGAAAACATATGTTTCTGTCCATTGCTCCAATCAAAAACTYTACATTGTTTATGGATCTGCACCTGTTAACTCATGTGCAAGTTTAGAATAATCTGATAAAAAATGTGTTTGTGTTATGTAACCTTTTAGGTGATAGAGTGTAATCTGCGGGCATCGCGATCCTTCCCTTTTGTCTCAAAAACAATTGGTGTGGACTTTATCAACGTGGCAACCAAAGTGATGGTGGGCGAGCCTTTGGATGAGTCTAGCCTTCCGTCACTAGAGAAGCCAATCATTCCTGTAGATTACGTGGGAATTAAGGTAAGAAAAAATATTCAAATAAAAACAATGTTACTGTTTAAAAGGAAACAAACTTATTGTGGTTGTTATAAGAGAAAGATGACTTTTTTGATGCAAAAACATACATTATATCATGTCAGAAATTAAGGCTAATACCAAAAACTTGCTTGTGCTCAAAATTGAAAATAGCATACACTGTGCAATTTTGCTAAAATAATAATAATAAAAAAAACCTGTGTTTATAGAAAAATATCCTTTTCTAAATTTCCTTCTTATGGTACTGAAATTCCTTTGCTGATGATAAAAGGTGAGCTCTGCAGTTTCAGGTCAAGTTTTCGTAATATCCTTGTTGATCTGTTTTCTTTTCAAACAGACAGTGAAGCATGACTTAAAGCTTCTGTGTTCAATCAAAACACCATGTTTCTGCTCCTCTAGTCAGTCCAAATGTCTGTCCTATTTTTTTCTTTGGCTAGCACCAAGACCCAGCTGGTCATCGAGTGTCCCTGTCGGGAGCCAAGTTGACGTTTTCTCTGCCACACTGTCTTTGCAGTGAGCCARGGTGGTTTTTTAGTCAGCCTCGTGTGCTCATCTTCAGCAAGTGCCCCTTCAATTGTCCTACGTGACTCTTCTTTGGGCTTAAGTGGTTTCATTTAAAGGGCAGAAGCCATGTCCGCACATATCAACCACAACACTTCTCATAATGGTCAAAGTGTTGCTGTGTTAAAGAAAAAAAAAACACTGAAAGGAGCTGTCTTCTTACATTGCTTTTTAATGGCTGTTTTTCAACACAATGAAATATTCGATTGTGTCAAGTTTACGCTTCACAAAGTTTGATGATTTTGTTTTGACTATGAAACTCCATTTTTAGGCCACATTTTCCAAAAAAACATTAACAAGTGCTCCACTGCAGTGACTTTATTCATAATTTATCACCAAGTTACTTTTTTGTTAATATAAGGATTTAGCAAAGTAATGGTTCTAACCAGTAAACAACTATGATTTCCTATGTGTTGAAATCTTAGCATTTTGACTTTGGATGTTGCAACAGCTCAAACGCTTAAAAAAAGTAGCTCTCAGAAATYTTTCTTCTCCCAATGAAAGGACGAATACAATAGCGAGTTCAAAGGTAATAACTGCCTGGTGCATAAAATAGACTTTAATGTTTCTTTAAAGGTCTATATTAAGTTTCTCTTTGAACTGCTTTAAACTTGGTACACTACAAAGAATGGTTGGAAAATGACAACATACATGTACCTTAATGGGTAGTCTCATTTCCTCTAATACAGCTTCTGTTTGATCAAATAAAAAGGAAAGCAATTACGACTTCATCCCTCTGCACAAGTCTGATGAGAAAAGTAGTAGGTACATTTCTCTCGCCAACTTACTTCTTAACTTGAGTGTGAGATATATTATGTGTCCCTGGCTGCTCTGAAGCTTTTTTTTTCCTTCAGAAATTATTTTTCACTCCAATTACAACAAAGCTGTTGTAACAATAGTTGTAGTTTGGAACCAATCATCCAGGTATAATCCCCCACTCTTCCCCACCACCTAAAGTTTTCAATTTCCAGTCTGCACGTTGGTGTGGAATATTAATAGGAGCTCAGAAATCTCCAGACGTCTGACTAAAGAGGCTTCCAGGGTTTAAACCTGGTATATGATACATTCATACCCTGACTGATTAGGTCCTTGCCGAAAACCTAGCCACAAAATATTCAGGTTTAACCAGATTGTTCTAGTTTTTTTTTATTACTGTTAAACACGTTATTGCTGCAACAACATCAGGCTGGCACTATAAACACTGTTATGTCTCCATTCTGAGTAGCCTGAAGTGTGTTTGATCAATATTTTATACATCTCAGCCTTCATCCTCTCTGTATCATCTCAAGGCGCAAGTTATTACTGTCCAGAGAGATCATCTTCATTTATCTACTTTATTCCCTCACAGCCGTACTGTTGCTGCCTGTTTTCTTTCACTCTAGCAATGTTTGAAGCATATCAATTTTTTTTCTTTTCCGCTAACAAGTCCCTGTTGTGTAGTTTTTATCTTCTTATACAGTATAAACCCAAAGGATCAGTAACCAGGTTGGATTTATAATACTAAAGCAAGCAGATGGAGCATTCAAGGACAAGAAACCTGATATGTGGGGTTTGTGTTTTTCCAGAAGACAACACTTTCGTCTGTTAAAAAAAAATCTAAAAATTCTGAATGAGTTGTCATTTTTTAAACTATTGTGAGTTGTGCAATGTATAAAAAGGTTGGTCAGGATTGCTTTTCTACGATCACTTAAAAAAATTTAGATGAAAAAAAAGTTACTTTGAGCTACGTTCACACTGCAGGCAAATCCGACCCAAATCCGATTTTTTTGACCCATCTGACCCATATCCGATTTTTTTATGACAGTCTGAACGAGACAGATCCGATTTTTTCAAATCCAACTCAGGCCTTTTTAATTATCTCATACTGAATTGGCTACATACCTGATGTTTTTSGAAGTGACTGCAGTGTGAACGCTCATGTCACATTCCATCCGACTTTTTCATCTGTGAGGTGGGGGTGAAGGATCGATAAGACACTAACCTCAAGTCACGCTGTTTAAATCTATATCTCCATGTGTTTACAGCTCCAAAACACAAGTCCAGTTGATTTGTCTTTTTACTTTTAATTTTCCATGTAGATAGGATGATAAAAACGTCCAGCCTCGGTCGTGGACCTATCTATCGTAAAGTTACTCGGTCGATACTTTATTTCCAGCTCGTTGCTTCATTCCAAAACTAAGATGCTGCACAGGAGCCTCCCGGTCAGAGGCAGGCTCAGATATAAACACCGAACTAAACACGCGTGTCAGATAATTATTTAATCAGCTCTGACTGAACAACAACTTCAGAATCGACGTGCCAAATGCAGCATACATGCTAACTCTGTAAACAAACAGCTGGCTGAATGTGACGTCATGTCTTTTTCTGCACATGCAGGTCACATCACTGCCGTGTAGAGTTCACACTGGAGTCTGATGCAGGTCGCATTTGAAATGTAATGTGAACATTCACACCAAAAAATCAATTTTTTTAATCAGAATTGAGCATTAAAACCTGCAGTGTAAAGGTAGCCATCGTCCAACACACACACCCACATATGACTCTGTGTTCTGGTATAGATGATCTACACAAACCATTCATTTGTCTCTTCTTGGCACAGCATTCATGTGAATCATCACAGAACTGTGTATTTTTAGGTTTTTCCTTATTGAATGTCAGAAGCTTCTTATAAAAATTCATACTTTATTATTATAAGCATTAATGTCAAAATAAATAGTTTTCAGTTGGGATCATTGAGGCCTTTAAATTGGRACAATTTCCCTCTCCAACAAGGTGTGCCTGCAGTGAACAACAATGTTATGTGACTATATCTTTCTGTAGCACATCTGGTGCTTCATGATAAGATTGTTCATTTTGCAAAGCCTCACAATAATCCTCAGGAGAAGGTGGGCAGCATAATATTAGGAGATTAGGAAGTACTGGTTGTAAATATTGGTAGGATGTTGTGGTTAGCTAAAGTTGACCATTGTGATGGTAACAAATATTCAGATCCATGGTCACATAAATGTGTAGGAAGGAAAAGCTATTCTAACATGGATATGGCTTTTCCAAAGACTAGTGTTACATCTCCACCTGTGCTTCTCTTTATTCTAACTGCTTCTTTTCCTCTCTGTTTGTCCATCTATTATGTCCCTTTCACCTCATTACCATAGTTCTGACTGAGAAGAAAATCCTGCAGATTTAGTCAGTGTGAAGGTTAATGTTATTGTGGATGATTTATAAACAATGAATTGTTGCTTATGTCTTTCCATCACTTATGTGTAATTTTATTTGCCTTTAACTCTTTTATTAAAAAGTTCCTGCTCATTGTAATTCCATCAGTACATGCTCCTCTTTCTATTTAATTTTCTTTTTTGGTTTCCTCTCTGTCTGTCTCTGACTCTTTAAACAAAGGCACGATAAGCCATTCGGCTTCCCTGTGTGCTTTCTCTTCATTCCTTCTTACATTAGCATGCTAACATTACATTTACTGATTAGATAGCTGGCTTCAAGGATGAATCTTCCCCAGTGGGCCTTTTCTGTGTGTGTATGTGTGTGTGTGTATGTAAATGGACACTTAAACCACACAACACAGCACCACCTCTTGCTCTCTTCAAGGTAATAAGGGTTGTCTGCGTTATAAATGGAGTATTAAGAATGGCTTCCCAAATGGCACGCCACATTTCTTGCTTTCTCCAACACAATAATGAGATGATAGTGTCATCTATTCATGTTTCTGCACTTCTTTTTTTGTTTTCTTCTTCCAATCGTATCTTTTCATTTCCACAGTTTGATCTGTTCCCCCACTCTTGTGCCTATTCTTGTCTCCAGTCCCCTTCCTTTTCAATCTTTGTTAATTATTCTTTGATTATATTTTTTTCATCTTTTTTCACTTGTTTTGTTCGTGCACTATTTTTCTGCTATTAATGCTTTCACCTTTTCAACTTTCTTCTCTTTCCTGTTCTAATTGTTTCCCCACTTATTCATTTCATTCTGTTTACTTCCTTTTCCTTTTCTGACTCATCCTGATGTTGTTCTATTACTGTAGTCTCCCGTTTGTTACACYTCTGCACACAAACCCATCACACTGCTGAGGGGAAAAAGAGCTTAAAGGTTTACAACTTTACACACCAGTCTCTAATGTGTTAATAAAATAATTCCTCACTCTCCCAGGCACCAATGTTCTCCTGGCCAAGACTGAGGGATGCAGACCCTGTGCTTCGCTGTGAAATGGCTTCCACTGGAGAAGTAAACCCCTTGCAATAATTTATTGCTATTCAACTTTGTATTAACAGATTCATTTTAAACTGCTACAACAAATTAAAATGAATAAATAATGTTTCTCACAGTTTGCATGTGTTATTTGTGTTTTCAGGTAGCTTGTTTTGGACCAAACATTTATTCAGCCTTCCTGAAGGCCATTCTCTCCACAGGCTTTAAGCTGCCACAGAAGGGCATCCTGATTGGGATTCAAGTAAGACTACAGCCCCCTGGAATTTTATTTTCATTCTATTCACTTTTTCTTTTGGTACACTCTGTTCATATAACATGAAATGAAAGCTACATATAATTACACACAACAACATCAAGGCCCAGTGTCAATGTAAATTATATTATGGTCAAAAATAGGAACAACTAGAGGAATTCTTGGATTTTAAAGGGTTAAATAAACCAACTATATATATATATA